TGAGTGCTCCCTGCAGTATCTTGCCTTCTGCTAGAGTCTAAGACTGTGAGTGCACAGTGGTAAACAAACCTGGTGTGTTGAGTTTTGACTGCCCACTCCTTGCAGGAATTTCCTGGAGCAGAAGCAGCGTGTAACATGGGAGGTGGAGTTATGGTCTGTTCCTCCTACTCCCACACAGAGAATGGATCCCTGCCAATGAGGAGCTCTCCGAGGGAGGGCACAGGAAGATTAATACCCATCACTTCTGTCCAGCACAAACTGCACAAAAAATAGTAAGTAAATGATAATGGGTCACTATGGTTGGGAGGAAAGTACAGTGTGATGGAAAAGGGATTATGAGACAGTGTGATGGATGATGATGTGGGGAAGTGTCAGGTAGTTCATGCAGTGACCAAAGGGGTAAGGAATTGGGGAAAGATGGGGATTGAAAGTGAGAGATGGGTAAATATAAAAGAGACGGCTTGGTTAGAAATAGGGGAGATGCAGTTTGGAAAGTGTTCATATGGGGAGAGACAAATGGGATACAGGATAAGCTAGAAATGGTAGGGGGAGAGACACAAGTATGGAGATGTGTGTGCAGAGCATGAGTTACAGTTATAGCAAAGAATAGGTGAAAGATACCAGTGAAGGGAGGCTGGTTAATAGATGGATGGAAATAGACAAGTGGGAATACGAGTAGAATGATAAACATTGGGGAGTAATGGAGGAGACACAAATGAGCAGAAATAATGGCAAAAGATATGAGGACACAAAACTGGGAGAAAAAAAATAAAATGCATGCACATTTTCAGTCTCTGCATTTCCATGCACACAACACCCAAACATTAGTTACAAACATACATAATTTCATCCATATATTTACACGTGTAGAGACTGATATACTGATTTACTTTTAAACATCAGTAAGCCTCTAGCATGTAAGCTCATCGAGCAGGGCCCTCAACCCCCTCTGTTCCTGTATGTCCAGTGCTCTGATCTCAATTATGTGTCTGTTAGTCCACCCATTGTACAGTGCTACAGAATTTGTTGGCGCTATATAAATAATAAAATAATAATAATAATAAACATGCACAATTGTGCTACTCAGGGCCGGACTGGGGATACGGAGCAGCCCTGGAAAAATATCTATGCCAGCCCCATAAGTCATTGTGTGATGTAGTGTGTGTGTTATATACATACACATATATATGTATATTTCTTTTTCTAATTCAAAATATTAGTCCTTTCAGGGTAATTAAATTATACACCAAAGCATACTCACATGCAGACACAGACAATCTTACTGATTCACACAAATAGGCTCATTGACAGACAAGGTTACTGGTACACACACAAATTTAGTACAGACAAGCTCACTGATGCGCACACAAGCTTACTACAGACAAGCTCACTGATGCGCAAACACTCTCCCTACAGACGAGCCCATTGACACACACATGCTCCCTACAGAAGAGCTCACTAACACACAGACTCACTACAGACAAGCTCACTGACACACACATGCTCACCACAGACAAGCTCACTGACACACATAAGGTCACTACAGACAAGCTCACGATCACACACATGTTTACTACAGACAAGCTCACTGCACACACATGCTCACCACAGACAATTTCAGACACACCCATGCTCCCTACAGACAAGCTCACTAACACACACACACACACGATACCTACAGACAAGCTCACTGGCACACATACAAGCTCACTCACTAGCAGGTGCACACACACAGAAGCTCCCTCACTAGCAGATGCACACACAGAAGATCACTCACTAGCAGATGCGCGCGCACACACACACATGCAGACAGCCACACACATGCTAAGCTCCGCCCCGCCGCAATATTTATTTATTTTAAATTGCCCACCATGTGTGAGCTGTGTCGGCCGCTTGCTCCCATGGCCGGCCGGGATTACAGGAGCTGATCACTGATGAATAAGGCTGTTAGCCCAGCCCCAGGTGCCACGGCCCACCGGGAAATTTCCCGGTATCCCAATGAGCCAGTCCGGCCCTGCTGCTACTAAGACATATTACTCTGAAATCACACACACTGACACTACAAACACACTGGTACTAGACATTAGCAGGGAACAGGGAGTGGGCAGGGGGCACTGTGTACATTTAACACACAGGGTACCTAAATGTTTATGGCCAGTCCTGTATGGAAGGGCAGGAAGAAGCACACAGTTACCCCACACACATATGAACACGTGCAGTAAGCCACATACAGCCACCTTACTTCTACTTCTACACACTCCTTTATAAAGGAACACTCCAAGCTCCTAAATTACCACAGCCTGTTGTAGTGGTTATAGTGTCAGGTGTCCCTTGGTGCCCTCTCAGAATGAGTAGTCAAACCACTTAGGAACATTTTGGCCATTTACCTGGGTCCAGTCAGGCACTTGCTGGCACAAAAAAACCCTGCTGTCACAAGATTTTTTCACTAAGTTTGACTGTTGCGTAGGACTGCGCTCATTGGCAGAGAGCAGGCAGCTTTCAACCAATAAGCTGGCCCCACACAGTAGAACATAGCTCAGTGGAGCTGATGGAAACTCCAGGACCAGGAGAGGCGGGACGCAGGTAAGTTGTCAACCCTTCCTTACTCTGGATGCAACTCCAAGACAATCTTGGCACTATAACCATTAATGCGGGCTGGACTGATTATGGAGGATGTACTGACTATGGAGGTCTGTAATAATTATTCTCTTTATATGAAATTTAAAGGGACACAATAGTCACCCAGACCACTTCACTCAATGAAGTGGTCTGGGTGCCAGGTCCCTCAGGTTTTAACCCTTCACATGTAAACATAACAGTTTCAAAGAAACTGCTATGTTTACATTTGGGGTTAATACAGCCACTAGAGACGCATCTGCGACGCTGGAGGTGAATTTCGCCTCCATCACGCAGAGCATCCATAGGTAAGCATTGAGAAATGCTTTCCTATGGACACTTTGAATGCGCATGCATCCTTTAAATATAACAAAGGGAAATCATTTGCAGGGGCACGCTCTAATGAAATGTGCTGTGGCAATGGCCTATGGGTTGAATAAGCACATGGCAAAAGTGCCCTCAATCACAAACCCATGGAATCTTGGAAAAATGTCACAAAGGGGTTAATCTCATTTACACATATCTTCTGTATTTAGTAGCACAGTTCAAATTTCATTAGTGGAATGCAGCTCTACTGCTTTTCCCCTAAGACACTGACGGTAAACCTATGGCATTGGACAAACAGCAGGCAGTCTGGGTTATGATATTGGGGAAACAGCTGGCAGTTTGGGGTGACCTACATTGTCTTCGCACAGAATATTCTTGATAAAAGGCCCAAAGGATAATTTGCTTGACAGTGCCAGGCCAAGACACTACTGCCAAGAGGTGCACAAACTGGGGTGCAAAGCACCTGGAGCCTCAGTACACCAGAGCAGTGGAGGAAAGGCGGGGATAGGGAAGTGACTTAAAGGACCACTCTAGGCACCCAGACCACTTCAGCTTAATGAAGTGGTCTGGGTGCCAGGTCCAGCTAGGGTTAACCCATTTTTTAATATTAATGGGTTAAGCCTTCCCCCTAATCCTCTAGTGGCTGTCTCATTGACAGCCACTAGAGGCGCTTGCGTGCTTCTCACTGTGATTTTCACAGTGAGAGCACGCCAGCGTCCTATGTGACCGGCTGAATGCGCGCGCAGCTCTTGCTGCGCGTGCGCATTCAGCCGACGGGGAGGAGAAGAGGAGGATCGGAGGAGGAGAGCTCTCCGCCCAGTGCTGGAAAAAGGTAAGTTTTTACCCCTTTCCCCCTTCCAGAGCCGGGCGGGAGGGGGACCCTGATGGTGGGGGCACCCTCAGGGCACTATAGTGCCAGGAAAACGAGTATGTTTTCCTGGCACTATAGTGGTCCTTTAATATCCACTGCTATCTCATCACACGCAGAGAACCCCAGCACTGTGTATGAATGGTGAGCTGCATCGTGGCACATTAAGACAATACCTTCCAGGTATGTTACTTGGGAGAGCACTACATTGGCAGAATGGGAATATACGAAACACAAATGGGATACAGTTGGTATTATCTAAAAAGAAGTAAATAAATAATTGTGCAATACAATTTGATTTTAAACAAGCACAAACTGATAGATTGCACTCACAAGATTGTAAAATTGAAAGCACTCCAAAGGTCCCTCCCCCAAGGTAGATCGGGGGCTATTGTCTGCTTCTTAATTTGGTAGTTACCACTGTGGGTCGGGAACCAGCCAGGTTTCCGAAAGGTGGGTAAGCTTAAAACAGCTTTTTATTTGGCAGTAAATGATAAAATAATAAGTCTTTGCAAAGAATAAGAGGTGTGGGTTGTTAAGCTGAATTTGTGTGATGTTTTTGTAGATACATTTGTGGAACACAAAACCGCGTTGTTTTTCATATTATTATTAATATTATTTATAAAGCACCAACAAGTTCCGTAGCACTGTACAATGGGTGGACTAACAGACACTTATTTGTAAGCAGACGAGTTGGACACACAGGAACAGAGGGGTTGAGGGCCCTGCTCAATGAGCTTACATGCTAGAGGGAGTGGGGTATAGTGACACAAAACGTAATGGTAGGGTAGTAATGTAGGTTGTTAGGATAGTGTTTATTGAGGGCTTAGTGTTTTGTTTTGGTGACAGTTTCAGAAGATGAGGTTATTGCTTAAAGAAACCGTTATGAAAAACAATATGTTCCATTTCTAACACCTTGTCAGTTTGCAATATCTCTTAAAGACAAAGTACACAGTTTAAGAAATACAACATTTCATTCTAAAACTTGTAATATTTGCATTTGCCCATAACAATTGAACGTGAGGAGTGAAGGAGAGGTCGGAGTCAGAGATAACACCTAGGCAGCGATACAGCGCAATGTTCTTTCCATGTATTCCACTTAGTGCATGCCCTCCCAGAAGGGGTGTGGAAAGCACAACATAGAAAAATCAGGTAAGTTTGAAAAAATATATTTACATATTTTTTTTTCCTTCCTGTACCATTAAACAACTGCCTCATTTAAAGGCAAAGCCTTTAACTCTCTCTATCTTTCTGATTTTCCTGCAAAAAGGTTGATAAACATTATACTCTATGGGCATTCCATTCTGTCATTCACCCTTGTCATTCCATAAGAAACAATGATAATCCCACACACTCTCCATTTTAAACATCACAGCTGACCTTGGAGAGTATGCCTGCTAAATATTTATTTTATATGTCTAATGGTTCTGACTCAAAGTTACATCTTGCTTCCCATTATAATCTATAGTCATTCTATTTTGCTCTGTTATTGTCTGTGGGTATTCCATTATGTCATTCCTATCCGTAAGTCCCCTGAAATGTAGACTGTACAGGTGAAATGGTTTAATATTTGATGAGCAGCAGGTCACTCTGTCCCAGCCATGATTGTTGCTCTCATATGGCACTGACAATTGCTATCATGTGATATGGGCAGTCGCTCTCATGGACAGTTGCTATCATGTGACATCGACAGCTGTTAAGCTGTGTATTTACCGCAAGGTTGACAGGGCATTTGCCTTGGGCGGCACTTTCAGGAGGGCGGCAAAAAAGCCTCTGGCAAATGCCTTGCCAGCCTCTTGTCCTAGGGGGCCCAGGGGCGTGCTGGATGGCCACCTCAGGGACCTCCAGAAGCTGGCATGCACTGATGTTGCGGGGCGCGCGAGGGAGCACTGTCACCTGAGCTCTCCACTGTTCAGCTCACCGCAGTGATGCGGAGCCGGAATACGGTGTCACTCAGGCATCACTAAGTTGCATGCGAGGGAGCTGAACAGGGAGCACGCCTCCAATATGAGCGTGCCTGCCAGCCCAGCCAGCAGCAACCCCAATGGACCCCAAAGGTAGGGAGGCTGGGTGGATCGAATTAAAAAAAAAAAAAAAAAACTGTAAAAAATTGTCTGTTATTGAGTGTGTTAGTGTATGTCTGTTAGTGAGTGTGTTAGTGTGTGTCTGTTAGTGAGTGTTAGTGTCTGTTAGTGAGTGTTAATGTTTGTGTCTATCACTGAGAGTGTATATGTTTTTGTCACTGAGAGTGTGTGTGTGCGTGTTTCAGCATGTGTATCCATGTCTGTCAGTGTGTGTATGCGTGTCTTTCACTGAGTATGTATCTGTCAGTGAATGCGTATGTCTGTCTTTGTGTGTCTGTCAGCTAGTGTATGTGTCTGACACTGATTGTACATTTGTCTGTCAGTGTGTGTTGAATATGTGTGTATCTGTCAGTGAGTATATGTGTGTCCCAGTGTGTGCGTCTCTCAGTGAGTGTGCATGTGTGTCTTGTCAGTGAGTGTGTGTGTGTCTGTCAGTGAATGTAACTGTGAATGTGTATGTTTCAGTGAAAGTGTGTGTTGGTTAAACAATGTGTGTGACAATGACTGTGTAACTGTGAGTGTATGTCAGTGCATGCAGTGAAGGCGTGTGTCTGTCAGGAAGAGAAATTTGGAAAGGGGAGGAGGGGGTACATGAGTTTTGTGCTCCCCATAATACACCACTGCAGCTGCTATCATGTAACACTGACAGTTGCTATCATAGACAGCTGCTCTCATGTAAAGTGGACAGTCGCTCTCATGAACAGTCGCTGTCATGTGATATGGACAGTCGCTCTCATGGACAGTCGCTGTCATGTGATATGGACAGTCGCTCTCATGGACAGTCAATGTCATGTGATATGGACAGTCAATGTCATGTGATATGGACAGTCACTGTCATGTGATATGGACAGTCGCTCTCATGGACAGTCACTGTCATGTGATATGGACAGTCGCTCTCATGGACAGTCGCTGTCATGTGATATGGACAGTCGCTCTCATGGACAGTCGCTATCATGTGATATGGACAGTCGCTGTCATGTGATATGGACAGTTGCTCTCATGGACAGTCGCTGTCATGTGATATGGACAGTCGCTCTCATGTACTGTCGCTGTCATGTGATATGGACAGTCGCTGTCATGTGATATGGACAGTCGCTCTCATGTACAGTCGCTGTCATGTGATATGGACAGTCGCTGTCATGTGATATGGACAGTCGCTCTCATGGACAGTCGCTATCATGTGATATGGACAGTCGCTGTCATGTGATATGGACAGTTGCTCTCATGGACAGTCGCTGTCATGTGATATGGACAGTCGCTCTCATGTACTGTCGCTGTCATGTGATATGGACAGTCGCTGTCATGTGATATGGACAGTCGCTCTCATGTACAGTCGCTGTCATGTGATATGGACAGTCGCTGTCATGTGATATGGACAGTTGCTCTCATGGACAGCTAATCCCTGGCTCTGAGAGTCACAGTCCCCAATACTGTGTGATTAGTAAACATGGTGTCTGCTATCCCAGTGTTAGTACTCCTGCTGATGCCATACTTTCTACCTACTTCCGTATTAGAGCTCATTAATACCCGGTTCCTGTTAGGTTAATAACTAGCCGTGAACCCTCGCACTCAGCCCGGAGGAAGTTTCAGCTCTGGGCTCACGTGATCCACTGAAGAGCTCTCCGTTATCTATAGTGGGAGGGGCTTCCTGTCAGCGGGGGGCGGGGCTTACCTCTCTACAAAGAGCCCGCCCACCTGCCTGCCAGCTTTATACAGAGAGCGGCCAGTTCTGGAGCTAGATCTGCGGTGGGCGGAGACTGGAACGAGAGCTCGTGAGAGAACGTATCATCTACCTCAGGTAACGGTTTCCATCGATCCCTCCAGTAATAGCTCTATTACCTCCCAGACCGCCTTGCCTGCGTTGCTCTAGTCTACATGTAGTACTGCCATCTAGTGGTGGGTTGCAGTACTGCTGCGTAGAACGTGACCTGAGTCATGACACTATACCAGTGCTACGTGTCAGCATGTTTTCATTCCCTGGAGTGGAATCCTATGAATGACTATTACCAGCAGCACATTCCATATTTAATATATATGGGCTTTATTAATACATTACTTCTTAGCTAGCTAGCCATGGTACATGTTCTGAATTAGCTCATTATTATTATTATTATTATTAAAAAAACTGACCATCTAAGTTTTTGGATTTCAAATGTTGCTAGATTGATCTGCTTGACCTATGTTTCATTTTGAGACATTATAGTACCTCACAAATTAAAATCACTCCATTAATATATACCCCACCAAGGTGTCTCATATGGTATAGGTAGAGGCATATTTTGGATCCATTTTTCTCCAAATTAGTTTGAAGTTTGTGGTAATATTTCTTTCAGTTATTTTATTTCTTAAATTTCTTTTTTTTATAGTGCATTGTAGATATCACAGAATACCAAAGGCATTTCAAGGCATAGCATTATAGAATATCAACAAGCAGTCATTATGCATGTCTGAATGACTGCACTATTTTTAAAAGTAATGCATTGTAGATATTATTTATTTATAAAATATTTTTACCAGGAAGGACACATTGAGATTTCTCTAGTTTTCAAGTATGTCCTGGGACTACAAACCTTGCGTTATTACAATAGGCTACTGCATAATGTTACAAATAAAAAGTAAGGGGGGGGAGCGCGACCGCCAATCAGAGTAGTTGCATCCACCCAGAGCAAGCGGCTGAATTTGAGCCTTTAATTCTGCGATATAGCTGATTTGACCGGGTATCTTACTTACCCTCACCACAGTGCTCTCGGTGGGTAGCGGAGCTGGGGCATTGGGACTCCACAGACGAATTTGCAGAGGCAGGTTTGTACTGTGGCCTAGCAGTTTATGCGGGGTGGGAGACGCGGCCAGTTTACCAGCTTTCGGAGTCCCGCAGGGTCTCACAGATCCCCACCCCCTCCTCCCGTACCGATGGAGAATATACCAGTCCACCACAGCGCTGAATCCACACAAACAGGCCCCGGTGAATGAGCCCAGACACGAGAGTCTAACGCAACTTACCTTGCCTAATATGGCGGCTATGTGCAAAAAGATGGCCCCCGTTCACCACTCTGAACCCACACACCATTAGAGCAAATTGCCAACATGCTTTGAACAGCGTTGTGCAGCATCCTGGTGGAGTATGCAGGGGAAGCTGGCAGATGGCATTGGAAAGGAACCATCACCACATCGGTCTACTCCTCAGACTCACCATGCCGCGACAGTACCTAGGGCGGACCTGACTGGGCCACATCAGAAACAAGGCAAGTTGGGGAGAAGACCTCCTGGTTCAAGGTAGAAGAGAGGTGGGCATCCAATTACCGGCGGTGAAAGCCGCGATGGCAAGATCAGGCTGTGGCAGTGATAAAAAAACTCCACATGCTCAATCGAGTGCCGGCAGACAGGAAGCGACGGCATCCTTGTGGCCTGGCGACACCCTGCACAGGCTCCCCCTCAGCCCACACCTCGGACTCACTCATCCTACCCCTAAAGTTGGCTTGAAGAGGGGCACGAACTACTCTTCGGCCACTCTGTGCCCTAAAGTAACCTGCATATATATACCTTGCAGTTGATTTTCTTTTACATTATTTTGCTGTGCTCAAAATGCATGTGATTTGCCTCTGCTCCCTGGTGCCTACACCGGGCCTATGCTTTAACTATAACTGCTAGGCTGTTCATCATCATAGTAGCTGTGGTTTTATACGAGCCTTGTTATCTATCCTATACTAAATATAGCTTTGTTATATCAATGCAGGATATTGTCTTATGCTAACTAACGTCCATGCTAGAATGCAATGCCTGTTCGTGCATAACCTGCAGATTATTTGAGTTTGCTTTCGAACTACTTTTAGACCAGTCTGAAACTTCTTGTTTAAAAATCATCTCTCTTACTTTAAAATAGTGCAAAGTATTTACGCACCATGCTAATGTACCCATATGTATGATACTGAACGCCTGTTAATGCTGTTGTGGCATCACAAGTCTGTTTGTAATTACCTGCACTGCAAAAATAAAGAATTGGGAAAAAAATTAGTAATATTAAATTATACCGTGCTATTTAACCTCTTAGTGACCAGACTGTTTTTATATTTTTTTTTACGTTTGGGACCAGGGCTGTTTTTACATTTCTGCGTTTTTTTGTGTTTAGCTGCAATTTTCCTCTTACTCATTTACTGTAACCACACATATTATATACAGTTTTTCTCGTCATTAAATGGTCTTTCTAAAGATACCATTATTTTCATCATATCATATAATTTATTATAAAAAAAAATATATAAAATATGATGGAAACAAATGTAAAAAAAACACACTTTTTCGAACTTTGACCCTCAAAATCTGTTGCGCATCTATAACCGTCAAAAAATACCCATGATAAATAGTTTCTAAATTTTGTCCTGAGTTTAGAAATACCCAATGTTAACATGTTCTTATCTTTTTTTGGAAAGTTATAAGTATCACTTGGCTATTTCCAAACCATTCCCCCCCCCAAATTAACGCAAGTTACATTGTACCACTGATCTGTCAGGAATCCCTGAAAAACCCTACACATATATATTTTTTTTAAAAGAAGACAACCTAAGGTATTAAACTTGGGCTATTTTGACTCTTTTCATGCAACCATTTTACCACCAATCTCTGCCAAATTTAAAAAAATAAAAATAATTGGTGATTTTTTTTTGAAACACAACAATTTAAGAATACATGTACTGAGAACTTTAAGGGTTACTGCCAAACAACACCCCAATATGTGTTCAGCAACATCTCCTGAATAGAGTGAATGTATAGGTGTGTTGGTTTCTTTGGGAATAAAATACCTTATTTGGAGGGTGCGCATTCCAGTTTTCCAACTTGGAATTTTCACAGCTGGTCATCATGTACCCATGCCCTATTTGGGAAATTTTTTAAGCGGCCAATGTCATTTACCCCCATGAAACCATATTTTTTTTAAAGTAGACAATCCGGGGTATTCAAAATGGGGTATGTCCAGTCTTCTTTAGTACTCACAAACCAACAGCACATGGAGAGACAAAATTGTATTAAATAGCCAGGTGCAAATCATATAAACACTCCCTCAAATGTTTCAAATATCCAAATATCTAAAGAATATAGAATGCACACTATAACAATTTCAAAAAACTTAGCTTTATTATGTACAAAAAGTACCAAAGTGAAAACATACAAGAAAAATAAACACAATGTCAGAAGCAAGGGCAAATACAATAATGTAATGGTAAAATACCAAAAAGATTCTTACAAGGCTCAAGACAGAAACACGAGTCACCAAACCCCCCAATGTTTCGGCACCAACTGGCTGCCTTTATCAAGGGTACAGTCTTTTTTAGTAGCCACTTAGTCACATACACTGGCCAAAGTTAGCATTTATATTTGTTTGTGTGTTAAAAATGCAAAAAAAAAATTATGAATGCTAACTTTGCCAGTGTTTGTGACTAAGTGGCTACTGAAAAAGGCTGAACGTTAGTCTACCGAGTAAAACAGTACCCCCCCCCCGTGTACAGGTTTTAGGGTGTCTTGGAAAGTTAGAGGGTTAAATATAGTGCTTGCAAATTAAATTCTCTGCACTTTCTGCCTGGGTTATCAGGCAGGTTACCGCAAATTGTAATTAATAATATCACTTAATTATGTAATATTATATAAATATGCACGCAGAATTTAAATATATACACATATTTATATATTTGAAGTCTACGTGTATATTTATGTAATTATGTATATGGACATGTATATTTCATATTATTTTTATGCATATATACATAGATATATATATGAAACAAGGGGGGCCTGGCTGCAGTCACCTGGATATGCATAAATATACATTATTATTATTATTTTATTATTTATATAGCGCCAACAAATTCCGTAGCGCTGTTCAATGGGATAAATATATATGTGTGTGTGTGTGTGTGTGTGTGTGTGTGTGTGTGTGTGTATATATATATATATATTGTAACAGAGTGTTGGGGATGGTGGTCAGGGGTGTATATCTGGCACCCAGACTTTTGCACAGCCACTATCCTGACATGTGGGTAAGCACATGCAGCCCCAGGGAAAGTTAAGTTTAAATGTAGTTTTTTCCTCTGTTGTTATTTGGGTCCCTGGGGTGGAGTATTCGGAAGAGCAGGGTGGGCCGATTCTCCACCCACTGTCAGAGTGGTTGTGCATGAGTCCAGCCCAGGTTTCCCATAGAGCTCTGGCTCACTGCCTAACGAGGTCATTAGCCTCACCTGTAGGGGCTGTGAGCAGCTATATAACTGCAGTTAAAGCAGGGTGAAGTGAGGGAAGTGTTTTGGAGGAGAAAGAAGATTTGCTGTTCATTGTATCCTGTTACTTCACAACAACAGAAAATAAACAGGCCAGAGGCCCTTTTGAAACTGGACTTTGTCTTGACCTGGTTTTCTTACCCTAGAGGGCTGTGCGGTTGCCAAAAGATCCTGGACAAACACACACAGGAAAGTAAGTTTGTCACATATGGTGGAGAATGCGGGCACTGCACTAAAGAAGCCTGTGGGTATTAACTGGAAGCCAAACAAGCCTGTAGAAATATGGAGGAAGTTGTGAAAGTCTTGTTGCAAACTACAGCTGCACAGCAAAAGGC